AGGTCACCACCAGGTGAACTGCGATTTCCACTTATCACTCCCACATCTAAATGTCCTCAGCAGCTGCCCATGGCCTGCCATGTTGAGGTGAGATTCCTCAGCCTGGCCCTGACGAAGCTCCATGATTTGCCCCCTCCTCACTGCCAAGTCCACAACCATGGTTCCCTTCTGTCAATCTATTCCACCAACCAAAATGAAACCCCCTGATAGGCTGAGCATGTACCCTGATTCACTTCTTTGTTTCTATTATCATGGGAGTTTTTCTTTTGTTATTTGCTTATTTGTTGATTTGGTTTTGACAGAATTTCCAGTCCCTTCTCTGCCTTTAACTTATTCATTCCTAGCTATTGTCCATCCTTTAAGGCCAGTTTCTCTGGCAGCCCAAACTCAGCCATGTGTCCCTGTTTATGCTCCTGAAGGGCCAACTCCAGACTATAAGATTTACTTGGTAGAAGCCAAAGTACTTTTTCTGGTGTGTATTCTTTTGTGCCCCCTTAGACTGTGAGATGAAAAGAAGTCACAAATCTCATCTTTATGCTTTTATTGTAACCACTTCTCTCTCCCTAACCCTGTTTAGCACTGACACCTGAACGACCGTGGTCTCATCAATATTTGATTAGAGGTGGATGCTTGGGGTAAACCCTGGGGGAAGAGGGTTGAGGATGCCAATCACACAGACTTATGTATTTGCATACGCTCCTTTTGGAATAGTTATAAATCTACTGTTTTGGTCTTTTTGCAAAGTAAGTTGTAGCTTTAAATCCTAGAAAGGGGAGAATGAAGTAAAAGAAGGGAAGAGGCTAAAGCCATTTGGAAATAAGAAAAAATCTGAGACAGTTTCTCTCTTGGGCTCTGCCAATCATTAGTCCTGAGTCCTGTATTAGCAAGCACCAGATAGGGTCGCAGCTCTGGTCACTTTGAGTCCAATCTGAGATGTGAGAGAGGAACGAGAATAAGAACATAACTTACTGTGAGTGCAGGGACCTGGGTCCCCCACTCCGTAACCAGCAGGAACCGTGTTCTAAGGTAGCACTGTGGTCAACTCTTTGGCTTGAAGGAGTCAGCTCCTCTCTGCGCACTGAGGCTCTATGCACGCATTCTACGTGAACGCTGTGCCAGGCTCCATTGTGATGGAGGGGAGTGGATTTGGAGGTGATGAGGGTAGGATGAACTCAAGGGAGCAGCCGGACAGTGCACAGTGTGTCGGGGGAACAGAAAGTGATCCAGGTGAGAGGACACTGGGTGTGGCCCTATGGGACCGTAGATAAGAATGCAGCCTTTGGAGCCTAGCTTCTGAATTTCAGTCGCAGCTCTCCCATTGCCCAGCTGTATGGCCTTGATTAAATTATTTAACCTCTTTGTGTCTAAGGTTCCCATCTGTGCAATGGAGGTAATCATAATGTCTACTGCATGAGGCTGTTGTTAGGGTTAAATGAGATAATATATGTGGAAGAGGGGAGGGCACTGTCTAAGGACTCAGTGGGAGTTTGCTGTGGCTACCATGTTGGGGAATGGTGATGAGATAAGGAAAAGTCAGGAATCAGGGCTGAGAGGTAGGTGGCAAATGAATGTCAGGTTAAGGAACTGCCCTGTATGCCACAGGTGGGGACTCATCAAAGGTGACCTGGGCAAGAGAGAGATGCAATACAGGTTGTTTACCAGGAAGATGAATCAGCCAGTGATATTCAGAGTAGACCAGTGCCGGCAGAAAGGACAGGTGGCCCAGAGTGACCTCGATCGGAGACACTGGGCCTGGTTAGGTAGCAGCAGGAATCTTGGATAAGACCCGGAGAAGGGCCCGGAGCCCTGCAGAGGCCTCCCACAGGGCCAGAATCACCCCGGTTTTTGCTGGAGATGAGCAGGGCCCCTCACCAGGCAGGGACGGGTATATGAAGGTCCCAAACATTCACGTGACCACCAAGATTTGCAGTGATCCCAGAACCCGCTCTGCGTGATCAGTGCTCCATTTTCCTTTGAAGATATTTACTGTGAGATAAAATAGCAGCCGAAGTTAAGGGAGCCAGCCAGGTGGGCTCTGTTCTAAGTGTTCATATCACAACCTCGTTTGATTCTCACGTAGTCTTAGGACAAGGGTTTTGTTATTATTCTCCCCATTTGACAGATGAGAAAATGAGGCACTGTTCGGCCATTTGCTCAGCCACACAGAGCAGAACTCCCATTCTCTGGCCTTGAGGATGGGGAGAATAGGACAGGCTATGTCAAGACTACTGTGCTTATAGGTAGCATTGAGTGATGAGATCTCACGGGGGGGGGGGCAGGAACTTTTGAGAGAATTCCACAGGGGCCTCAGCCATGGAGACAATCTTGATAGCTACCTGTGGGAGGTAGTAGATGGTTGTGGCAGGACAGGCTCACTGTCCTTGGTACACGTTGCTGAACTTCTCAGAGGTGTAGTTAGGTAAACAGTGTCTGTGGACTGTGCTGACCTCCCTGTCCTTTTCCTGGGCACTTGTGTCTGGGGGCCGCCTCTTCACAGCTTTGCTCCCGGGCAGTTCACACCTGTTCTGGGACAGCAGTACACATTTGCATCTGTTAGCTGGTGACCAACTTCTTTGGTGGGGAAAGGTGAGGAGGCCCTTGGGTTCTAGTTAGAAAATGTTTGGGAAACTGGTCTTATCCACCAATACCTGCATTTTTATTTTAGGAGGTTCAGGGTAGGAAAGTTACTCAACTTGTGAAATTCAAACCTAGGACATGTGGCCTGACTTCCAGGCCAGACTCTTCTCTGCACCAGTCTATGGCACTAGGTCCTTTCTGGGAGTAGGGGGGCATGAGAACTGCACACATGGCTCCACCACCAAAGCAACCTACTCTGGGCCTTGGGCAAGTCACTTAACCCCAAAGGCTCAGTTTTCTCATCTATCACAGCAGGCTTGTGAGGATACTGAGATACCTAAAACCTGTCATCTTCTCCCTATTCCTGAGGGGCAGTCTGTGGTCAGGACCACCTCACTGCTGCCGTCAGAGGACCTGAAGGCTGAGGAGAGACTTTCCCAACCCCATGGCCCTGGACAGCAGCCTATTGGCCCATGGACTGGGCTTTCTTGCCAGTGGAGGTGCCCTTGCTTAGTGTCCCTGGGAAGAGAGCCACAGCCCCTCCTTCCATCCCTTACAGCCTTCTAGGGCAGGAGGGCTTGGGGGCCACATCATGCCCCACAATGTGGAGTAACGGCAGCCCAAGTATCCATCCACAGACAAATGAGTAACAAATTGTGGTGTATGCCTACAATGGAATATTCTTCATTCATAAAAGAGATGAAGTCCTACTACACTCTATAATGTGGACGAACATCACAAACATTAAGCCAAGTGACAGAAGCCTGACACAGAAGGTCACATGTTGTGTGATTCCATTTATATAAAATACCCAGAATGGGCCAATCCACTAAGAGAAGGAAGGTTGGTGGGGGCCAGGCAGAGGGACGGAAGAACGGAGAGTACGTGCCTTCACAGGTGTGGGATTTCCTTTGGGGGTGGGAACTAGACAGAGGTGGTGATCCCTCGACATTGTGAATGAACCAAATGCCACCTAATCTTCACTTAAAGTGGTTAATTGTGTCCTATAAATTTCACCTCAATTTGAAAAACAACCCTAGAACCCTTCATAACCATTGCAGAAGCACAGCCTGTGCCTCCCATGTCACCCTCCCTGGGGACAAATGAGGGACGCCATGGAAGGAACACACAGTCGTCCCTTGCTCTTTCTGCTCCTCTGGTGTGAGAACACTGGTTCTCCTGTAGCTTCCAGCTTGCTCTTCCCAGGCTGGGGCCAGTTGTACCAGTGCCCACAGCTTGACCCACTGCTGCCCATACGGTACCCTGCCAGGGGGACATCTTGGGTGGCAGCAGAGGCTCCAGGACCCCACTGTGTTATCTACAGAAGTCAGACAATTACACTTTTATGCTGCCACCTGAGCTTCTGCTGCAGAGGGGTGAGTACAGTTATCTGACCTCAGTGGAACACACCGCACCTGGGGGTGGTACAGGGCTCTTTCCCTTTAAGACTTTTCCCAGTGCAGGACCTGCTACATTGCAGGTGCTTAATAATGCTTCATCATTGCTGAAAGAATGAATGAATGAATGAGCAAATGGATGAATGGATATTAGAATTATGAGGGATGAGCCATGGTTGGAGGCAATTTGTTGCTTCAGCCAACAGATGCTCCCCCGCCTGGCTCCCAGGCCCTCCCGGATGTGCCAGGTGTGCTTTAATTCTGGGCGGAAGCAGCTTAAGTTCAAGCTGGAGTCCTGCCAGGTAAGCAGGGAAGGCCAAGGAATGAAAGAGCCTTGTGGTGAGGCCTCCTGAGGGGCTCACCCTGGCCACTAGGGAGGCAGCAGGACATCACACAAGCCTAGGTCCTGGTCTTGCCTGTTGAGAGCTGGCAATGATGAGATCCACCTCAAACGGTGAAGACCACCTGCCACAGGGCGAGTAAGACAGCCAGCACGGTGCCCGGGTGCCAGGGTGCTCCGCAATGTTGTCACTGCCATTGTTGTTGGTGACTGTTAAGTCTTTGGGGGCTCATCTCCCTCCGCCTTCTATCTACCTCTGAACAATGCAAGACTCTTTGATATCGTTTTCGTGTGCCCTGGCTGTCCTTTCTTGCCCCACCTGTTTGCCCATTTGAAGCGGTTATTCCATGCCAGGACCGGGACGAGGCTCAGACTCATCACTGGGTTCCGTGGGATGTGCCCCACCCATTCTTCCTCATCCCCCAGTTTTGTGTGTTTACTGCAGCGCTCATCAACAACAGGTAGGGAGTTTGGGGTGTGAGGATACTGGAAGATTCCATATCAGAATTGCCCGCAGAGTGTTCGTTCTCCTTGAGAACCAAGTCTGTCTCATCCTCTGAATTAGCACCCAACCCACACCATCACCTTGTGTGGTGACCATAATTATGATCGACTCTTTCCCCATAAATATGTGTATTTATGTTAATAAAAGAAAAAATGTTAGCAAATTTCAAGTGTACAATAAATTATTATTAACTTCGATATCATCCTGTTTATTAGGTTTTCCAACATATTCATCTTGTAATTAAGTTTGTGCCCTCCCCCACCAAAGATTTTCTTATTTTTTAAGAAATGAGCCTGAATGCCTTATAATAAAAAGCCAATAGAGGATGACATGCATTTTTTTTCTTTTAACAATATATCATAGATTTATTTCTATGCTATTCCTACTGCCTTTGCTGGAAGGGCTCTTAGGTGCTGTCTTGGCTGAGTTCAGACACAGGTGATGTAAAGGAGAGAGTGGGGGCCAGCTGGCACTGAGTTGAAGCCCCCCACTCCCTGGTTTAATTAGATGAGTTGGAAAAGTGAGGGTGCTCAGGGCTCTGGAAAGAGGTGCAAAGGCTGTGCACTCTTGCCACCCTGCAGGTCCTCAGCTGAGCAGTGCATTTTGGGTCCTCTGGCTCTGACATGTAGTCCAGAGGATCCCTTTGTGAAGCCATCATGATACCTGTCCCAAGGGTTCAGTGGTAAAGGAGGATACAAGTCCACCAGGAAGCTGCAGTAGGCTCCTGCCCAGCCCAGAGCCAGGCACTCTGCTTCCTGCTGAGTTTCTGCGCCTTCTCTGCTTTAGAAGTCCGTTGCTGGGCAACCAGCAGACCACGATGGCAGTGGCTGGCAAGGTGCTTGGAAAGCAGGGAGTACTTGGGGTCAGTGTCCTGGATATTGTCTGAATATAGAAAAAAAATGTCCCATTTACACATTCTCAGGCGGTTACCCTCACCACTTGAGCTGGGTGTTATTGTGGCCACCCCTTTTCCCCAGAGGAAACCTCCCTGACCATCACCCTCCTCTGGGCACCCTGCACTTTCTAATTTACATTTGCAAGCCTTTACCACCTTGAGCCTTATGGTGATTTATAAAGAACCTGTTGTCTATTCTCGCCATCAGTTATTGAGCCTCAACCTCCTCCTAAATTAAAAAATGTTTTTTTTTTGTGAAAATAAATTAAATCAGGCCACAGGAGTAAAGTGCCCAGCAAGGTACTCAGGACATAGAAGCAGCTCATTAAGTGGGGTCCCACTATTGCCCAGCCTTGAGCACCAGCCCAGGACCTGTCCCCTAAAAGGGCTCCAGGACCATTTGCTGAATTTGTCTGCGCACGCGCCAGGTCCAAGCAAGTGAAGGGAGGGCTGTGCTGGGCTGTGCTGGGCGAGGCAGCGACGTTTCGGGTGCTGCGTGCCAGGTGCCTTCCTAGGTGCACGTAGGTGGATTATGTGTTCAGTTTGGAGAGGAGAGCTGGAGCTCTCGGGGAGCAGGCGTGGGAGGATGGGGCGTCTTCCACCGAGTGTCTGATTTCTGCAGGTGCCGAGGGATTAGCCACAGAGCAGGTGGGCCCCTCGAGGCCCCTCTTTTTAACCCACCAATCTCCCTTTCAGACGGGACACCACCAAGGCTAGGCAAAGGCAGAAAGGAGTCCCCTGCCCTTCCCACACCTGGAAGCAGGCCCGAGGGCTCCTACTGTCCCTGAAGCAGCAGGTGGAGCCCCTGCCTGCCAGCCTGGGAGCCAGAGGGGGCGGAGTCAAGGAGAACTGCGCAGTCGCTGAGCCGTGATCTCGCCCAAGCCCGCCTTGGGGAAAAAGCGCAGCTCAGGGGCTCGCAGGATCAAAAGATCCTGCGGAGGTTTTCGCATGTCCTTCCTCGCTGGGTTGGCTGCTGCCACTTCCATCTTGCTTCTCCTTCTAGGGCACAGGGCCAGAAGAGCTTTGTCACATCTCCGGCCTCTGTGGACAGGAATGCAGGGCGCTGCAGCGAACACCAGGGAGCCCCTTTGGGGACTTGTATCCCTGTCTCCCCTGAGACAAAATGTGTATTTGAAAGGGGAGAGAATGGAGGGAACCCGAGTCTGTTGAGTAGGCTGCCCGGTGTACACCCCATCCAGCTGTCGCTGCTGCAATACAGCCCGCACATCTGCTGAGGCGCCTGCAGCACTGCTGAATGGTGGGAGTGGGGGCGCGGTGGGGTGGAGAAGGCTCAGAGGCCCGAAGACTGGGGAAACTGCCAAACACCCCTTTTCTCTTCTTTCCTTGCACCTTGTGCTGCTCCTCCTCTTTGAGCACTTTGATAGATGACCTATTTTTGATGCTGGCAAAGATGTGATTTTAATTAACTAGAAAGGTCAAAGGGTTGAGGGAAATTCGAGAATTAAAAAAAAAAGTGCCAGTATGTTAATAACTGTAACTTCTCACCAAAAAAAAAAAAAAAAACCACTGGATGGAAAGGACTTTGGCAGGAGGGGACCTCGATGGTGCCTCTTCCCTCAATTTCCCAGCAGCAGAGCCCTGAGACCTTCTGGCTAAACATTGCTTTGATTCTTTTTTCTTGATCCATCAAAAGTATCTTGGAGAAAACACCTTCACTCTTCTTTGCATTCTATCTCCAGAAGATTCATAGGGGCTGGAAAAACCAGGTCACTTTGCCCCAAACCAAATCCTGCCTGTAGTTGGCCTGAGGGTGTCAGGAAAGCCCTCCTCTTCACACTAGGAGGGTGCCCCTGAGGCGGCACTGGTGAGTGTTGGGTGAGTGATCCACACTGCTGTGCTTTCTGGGGTGGCGGCAGGGGCTCCCCTGGTGTCCAGTGATCCTCATCCATTCATATGAGGGGCACCTGTCAAGCTCTTGCTATGTGCCAGACCTACTACTGAGGGCCAGAGGTCACGGAGTCAGGGAGGTCCTGCTCCTGAGAGTTCTCTTTCCAGGGGGCCATGCCTGGTGTGGGGTGATCTTAGAAAAGTCTGCAGAGGGGCTGAATACCCACTGGGGCCCAGCAGGGGTCTGAGAAGCAGGGACAGCACCTTCACCCTAGGGAGCCTACAAGAAGCAAATCACAGTGACAAGAGCCAAGGGAGAAGTGAGTAGAGGGGTGGGCGACATGCAGGAACGTGGCATGGAAGCCCAGAGGCAGGACAGGGCCTGAAATGCCCGCACTAGGCCTCTCCTGCCAGTCACTGGCCTGGCCTGGCTCTTAAAGAAAGGGAGTGGGGAGCCGGGGTGGAGACTGACTGGTCAGCCACAGCCAGGCCGAGCCCTGAGTAAAAGGAACAAACAGCAAAGGTGGGTGGAGAGGAGGGGGGAGGAAGGTGGGGTAGGAGGAAACCCTCCCGGTTCAAATTCTGGACCTGTTGTAATTCTGGGGCCCAAAGAGCAGCCTGTTGGGAGCCTGTCTGTACCTGCTCCAGCCCTGAGCCTGTCCCAGCCCTGAGGATCTTCTGTTTGCATTGTTTCCTGCTGTGCCCCACCCCCAACCCAAGAATAAAGATAACCCCCCCTGCCCACCGCTGCCCGCCCTCCCCACCCGGGTGACTCAGGCTGGGCGCCTGGTGGCAGCGGCTCTGCTCAGCCTGGCCCGCTCATCTGCTTACATCTGCTCCCGATTTGCCATCCATTTCTGTGACCTAAATGGTGGGTTTTCCCCCCCTGGATTAAAAGAAAGAAAAAGGTACCTTTCTCCTGCTGTGGTGTGCAGATTATTATAGTGTCTGTTTGCTTGGAGGGGACAAGAAAGAAAGTGAACTTGGACAAGGTCAGTTTAATTGCGACGTACAGCTGCCCGAGGTCTCCTGTCCACTCTGGCCAGTTCTGAGCCAAACCAGTTTTCCATGGCCAAACTGGGCCTGGTTTCCACATTGGTTCCTGTCAGGAAGTCCCTCCGCCCAGTATGTGCTGTTAAATAGGATCCTTTTCATTCATTTTCCTCTTATAAACTTCCCTTTCAGGTCATCCTGAAGGGAGAGAGGGGATGTGGCCTGGACGGGGGAGGGGTGCATCAGACTCCAGTCCCCAAAGGGAAGTGGCTGTGGGGGGAAGGCCGGCAGGGGGCTGGCCGGGGTCAAACATCTGGGGCCTCAGCCCAAGGACAAAGTCTAGTTTGCCTTCCTCTGCAGAGTATGGCAGCCGAAAACCTCCCTGTCCCCAAGTGCCACCTTCCATCCGTTCCCCACTGGGAGGGGGTTCGAGGAGTAATAGGAAGAGCAGCCCATCCTAAAAATACCTCCCACCCTCTGCCATCCTAAAAATACCTCTGCCACAAACTTCCCACAGAGAGTGAGATTCTCTGTCCCCTTTTTGGTCCCTGACTGTTTGCTTGTTGCAAGCCCCAGTACTGGGACGGGGCGGGTTCTTCCCCGCTCTGCCGGGTCCTTGGCTGATATCCACTGGGATAGGGACAGCTTCCTCCTCCTTTTCCTTCTGCTGCCTCTGGTCCAGCAAGATGGCACCATCCATCCCTCATCCACTGGACTGTGAATTCATTGTGCCCAAGACTTCCGTTCACTGCTGTGTGCCTGGCAATGCCTGGCACAGAGTACCTCCTTAAAACGTGTATTGAGTGACCAAAGAGGTGAGTCCCTTTCTACCTCCATGACACTACTTTGGTGCCCCTTGAAGTCACCTGGTTTGGGTCTTGGCTTCCCTGCATAGGAGCACTGTCGGTCTCGCCTGTGAAATGGGTCCTTGATTCCAGGGCTCTGGGTAGCCTTGTCAAAAGATCAAGGACCAGTAGAGTGCCCGTCACGTCCCCTCCCTGTGCTCTCCCTGCAGGACCCAGAATGCCCCTGCCCCAAGCCATTCCCAACTACGGAACTCCCCAGGACTTTTTAGTTCCAATCAAGGGGTTTATTCAAACACAGTGGGAAAACTATAATATATGTATAAAGAGGAAGGGCTTTTGTTGACTTTTTAAAAAGTCTTTAATAATTTCTCTAAAAATATCAAATTTAAAATCTCTCTGCAAACCTGGGATGAACTTGCTGTTCAGGTGACAGGTTGAACAATCATTTCCCCCCTTAGTTTTGTTTCATAATTGACACATAATGACTGGACATATTTATGGGATACAGTGTAGTGTTCCAACACATGTATACACGTGGAATGATCAAACCAAGGTGTTTAGCACATCTCCGGCCTCCAGTGTTTACCATTCCTTGTGGTGAGAGCATTCAAAACTGTCTCTTCCAGTCATTTTGAAATACACAATCTACTAATGCTGACAGTAGTCACCCTACCGTGCAGTAGAACGGATCTCCTTTATGCTCCACCACCTTGGCTCCTCCTGCCCTTCACCCTTGCCTTTCCCAAGGACACAGCAGAGTCTTCTTCCTCTGCTCCACTCTCAGTGCTCTGGGGAGCCCCACACTGCAGTGGCCCAGAGCACCACCCTGGCCTTGGAAAGAACAGGGTTCAAGGTGATGCGTGGACAGCTCAAAACCTTGGTCCTGAGGGCAGAGGTTCCAAATAAATGGGGGCGGGAGTCCAACTTGCTCACTTGAGTCTTTGTTGACCACCAGTGGGATTTCCTGCACATGCGCTGTGAGCTCCTATATATAGCCTCCTGTTGGGTGTCCAAGGCCATGAGGTGTCCTTACAGGGCAGCTCTCTGGGCCTGACTAGGCCATTCTTGTGCAGTGACGAGAGACAATGGAGGGAAGAGAAGAGCTGGGGAAGATCTTCCAGAGGTAGAGGTGTCCACAGGACCTTGGACAATGGCTAGGAGGTGAGACAACGAGGAAGGGAAGGGCCTTTGCCAACAGGGATGGAATTGGGCAAGACGGAAGGCGTAGCACTCACAGAGACACCTGGCTAGGGGAGGCACCCAAGATGGGACAGTGTGTCATGGATTCACTCAGCAGAAATGCATGAGTGCCTGCTTGTGCCCCACCCTGCCCTGCCCTGGGGCTGAGGACAACAAGGTAGTGGGCAGCCTTAGATGCTCTGTAGGAGTGAAGGAGGCCTCCCTGGCAGGCACAGCATGTCCCCAGTGGAAACAGGAGGATGCGGAGTCCTTCTTGCTCACTGAGCTCTGAAAAGAGCTGTCCCTGGATCACGGGGCCCTGCTGGCCTCTCCCACTCCTGCCCAGGGCTCTCAAACTTTAAACAGCAGCTGCTCCATGTGCTGAGAGCTTTGTACGGAACAGGAGCCCATACAGAGGTTCCGATTTGTAGGCCCTGGAAGGGGCCCAGGGAATATGCATTTTTAATCAGCTCCAAAGTGATTCAGGTGTGCATTTCATTACCAGCCCAGTCTACACCGGTGGAGGCCCTGGGGTGTTCAAAGACACTGATGCCCATGCAGTGTCCCCAGAGTTTGATTCAATTGGCCTGAGGTTGGGATCTGGATGTCAGTGTTCCAACAGTTCCTAGGGTGTCTAATGTGCAGCCTGGGTGAAGACCCTCAGGGTTCAAGTTTGAACAACAAACACTGACTTCATCCAACTGCATTGTATTAATCATGGCTATCCATAGAAACAAAACCAATAGGTTCATGTGTGTGCACACATATCTGTGTGCAATTCCACGGCGAGCAAGTCCGAAATCTGGCAGGACTAGACAACCAGGGGATGTTTGGGTTGATAAAGACTGTCTGGAGACAGAGCTCCCTCTTCCTCTGGGGAGGTCAGTCTATTTCTCTGAAGGCCTTCAACTGATTGGATGAGCCCCCCCCCCAATAAAGTAATCTGCTTTACTCCAAGTCTACTAATATAAATGTTAATCTTATCTAAAAAAAAGTTTACTCATCTTTTGGTGCTTGACCCAATATCTGGATACCCTGGCCTGGTCAAGCTGACACACAAAATTAACCATGACTTTGCGAGTAAAAGAAATAGAGCAGATGGCTCATCCAGGGCCTCAGAGCTGGTTCTACCAGTTCTCTTTCCCTCATCATAGTCTTGTAGGCTACAAAACCATGAAGACAACTTCAAGGTAAAACCAAGCTCCTTCGCTGACAGAGGGAAGCCAGGACTCCGGGAAGCTGGGCCCCCTTTCCAGGCTAAGCCCCTGGGCAGAGAGTGGAGCTAGGTCTCACACCCAGGCTTCCTGATGCCCAGTGGCTGCTCCGTCCTGTGCATTGCCGAAATCTAGATGCAGTCTTGGCCCACTCGCCTCTTGCTTAGAATTCAGTATGGCTTGTGAAATAGATTTTGCTTTAATTCAAAGCGGAATGGTTGATCTCGTTAGTAACAGTGATCCCCAGCCCCGCCACCCAAGGGCTTGGCAGCACCACTGGTGGGGCGTGTGGATCCCCTGGATATACGTGTGATGATGGCCAGAGATGGTAGTCCAGGGGACAGGGCTGAGGCAGGCCTTGGACTGATGGGCCTTCGGAGACAGGACCACAGGCTGGGGGTGGTGGAGCACCCTGTGAGGATCAGGGATCCCAGGAGCTATGGGACCTGGAAGCCCAAGTGAGGCCCAGCTGGGAGACGGTGCCTGGGTAGCAGGTGGAGTAGAGAGCAGATAGCCCACGCTGGAGAGGAGACCTCCGCGGACAAGGCTGCCGCCCAGGAGACTCCCTGGCACTGCTGGCTGGGGCTGTGTTCCAGGGCCTGAGTGGGAAGAGGCAGGAGGCGTGAGCAAAAGGCAGAGCTGGTTTGTTTGGACCCTGAGCTCCCAGGGTAGTGGGTGGATTGGGAGACGAGCTGCCCTGCCCAGCGCCCCCACCCTGTCTCTGATAACAGCTTCTCCTGGAGGAGAGCTGGGCTGTGCGGCACTGGAGAGGAGACCTCAGAATGCCAGGCTACCTGTGTGACCTCAAGGAGACTGGTTTGAACCTGAGCCAGGCCGAGAGGTCAGGCCTTCAGGCTTCCATCCTAGACTGACTCTGTCCTCCTCAGAGCTTCCTGCCCAGTGGCTTTGCCCAGATACTGACCCACTGCACCGTTCTGTCATCTGAAAACAGGCCAGTGACTCCAGAGAACCCTTGGATCCTATGTGCCATAAAAATATTACTTCTCTAGGAATTCCATGACTGAGAAGTTTGGAAAGCACAGCTCTATACTGGTGTTCCCCAAAGGTGTGTGTGTCACACCCCATCTGCAAGGTATTAAAAGGTGTTAGGCCGAGCAGAGGGATCACACAAGTCCAGGAAATGCAGACTTACCCAGAGTTAGGCAGGTCTCCTGAGGAGGGCCTTTGCCAGGGGTGAGTGTGTGTGTGTGTGTGTGTGTGTATAGTATTTATTGGGAATCTCTGACAGGGCTCTGGTGTTCAGGTGTCCCCAATATTTGTGTTATTCAAAGTGCACAGCAGTCAACGAAAGACACGAACTGCAGCTCTAGATCTTGCTCAGGATTCACGGTCCTGGCAGCGGAGTCCAGATGCCTGGGCCTGGGTGATGTTCTCCTGAGCAAGCTGCTGGGGTGAGAATGGGAGAAGAGCCCTCTTCCTCAGCAGGAGGCAGAGTCCTGCTTGCTGCCTTCAGAACTTTCCCAGTGATGCCCTCTCCCAAACCAACACACATCGTTCACTTGGCAGCCAAAACCTTTTGACTGCAGGGTCCTTTTCCTGGGTAGAAGGAGAGGCTTAAGGACACCCCCTGGGAGCAGGGTGAGGAGAAGCCCACTGTGGACTTCCTTGCTTCTCGGCACCAAGCTGCCCGCTGCGACTTTCTGTATGGAGAAAGTTCTAGATGTCACTTTAGCGTCCACCCCGTCTCCTTCCATTTCCCTTCCCAGAGAGGCCAGGTCTGCCTCTGGACCACCTCTTCTCCTAGTTCCCACTGCCATCTTCCCATTCCCTCCCCACCCATGGCCAGTGACAGGGCCCAGGAGACAAGCTGTGGATCTGAGGAGCTCACAATATG